TGGTAACGACGATACCTAGCTACTTTTAAAAATTCAAGAATTCAACAATCTGTCATTAACTGATGCCATCCTACTAATATTACACTCGCGAAGACAACACAAACGTTGCTCTTTCTTGTCAAATATACGAGTTGAACACAACATTCATCAAGCAGATGGCAAAGTACAAAAAATTATGTTGCTTGTTGGCACATAACAAAACTTGACTATAGGCCCTATATATTCCAACCAAAAATTAAAACCCTGTTGTGCATAAAATGAGCTTTATTCCATATTTGGCTAGAATGTATATACATAAATACAGAAGTAAACTAAAGAGAGGGAGAAATGGGGTTTAACGTCCACTCGACACAAACTATGTCATTTCGGGACTAACATATGGTTTAATTTTATTTCAATAATTCGCTTGCGCGTAGGGGTCTTTAGCAGTGGGAGGAAACCGGAGGACCCGGAGAAAACCCACGAGTTTTAAAAGTAAACTAAAACAAAGGTTGATCGCGTCATTCAGTTTTGAACGAGGTACTGGTTCCATGCGCTTGATGATAATTATGCTTCGTGTTGTTCCTGTTCTTTGAACGACGCCCTTAAAAAGGAGCCCTATGGCTCCGCCAATTCCAATACGGTTGACATGAAACTTGACATGCCTGTTCTTTAGACAAATGCACATAGCTTCATAATAAATTCATATTTGTTTGTTCGTTTCCAGGATCCTACAACAGAGGAATTTTGTCCAAGGAATGTTTTATGTCCAATTAGAGTATTGATATTAAAAGGACAACAAGTTCTAAATTGGTAAATGTTTTAATTAGGTGTAACTTTCCTGTCACTATTTAACTTTTCGATAAAAGGGTTTACCTTTTTTTCCCACGACAACCTTCGTTTGATAAGAAACGTGGAGTTATTGCTAAATATAACATAAGTAGTGTAAATCTTACAAATAATTATTCTTACAATTGACTGCTAAAAATTCTCTTACCATTAACGAATTGATTAAAACTTCAGCTTCCTAAAAGTATTTTTTTTCTTTTGTTTCAAAAAGATTATGGGGTTGTAAAATTAAACGCATTGTTTTAAAATCTCTTTGAAATTTACCGCTACCCTCGAATTCGTTTTTTTCGATATAAACTATAATATTGACCATTCGGAGGTGAGAGCCAGCAATTATCCAATCAACGGCTCTATTCATTGTCTTTTTTAGTTTCCAGAAAATCCAATCGGAGATGAGGTTACTGATTGTTTTATTATTATTTTACGATAAAAGCTTTAAGCCTACAGGATTAGTAAGGCGATAATATGGTCAAAAATCATTTTCTTATTTTATTAAAGTTTATATCTAATCTTCTGTTGTCCTTTATCTAGAAATCTGAGATTCGGCGTTTGTCAAAGGTTTTGATTTTTAGGGTGTTTATGGCCCCTTTTCGACCCCTCCATGATTATGGGTGTGTTTTTAAAGGGTGTTAAGGAGATAGGAAAGGGGGTTAAACTAACTTGTAATTAAAACTCCGCTGCTCTCAACATATCGTCAATTATTTTAAAGTTTAAGTCTTATTAAAACCCCAAATCTTCTTGGTCTAAACATTATACTTCCCAATCTGTTTAAAACATAGATCTTGTTTCCCCTTTTAAATAGTTCAAATTTTCTTTTGTCTTCATATTCACTATTACTGTATAGTTGAGACCATCTGAAATTTTAAAAAATAATTAAAAAAAAATGCTAAAAACAACGAAACGAAATTAATCGGATTTTAAGCTTATGGACTGATGCTATCTGTAGCAATATCTTGAATTAATTATGAAATATTATATGCCCATCCCACTTTACGACATAAAGGTTTACTGAGAAAAGCCGTCAAAAGTCAAGGAAGACTAATTCAGTGTATGATATATGTACAGAAAAAAGAAGATTTAAATAATATATAAAATAAAAATATACATTTCAAACGAACATAATTTCAATGTCTTCTTTAAAAGGTATGTATTACATTCGGCTGAAAAGATCGCTTTAAAATCTATAATATATGTCAGTAATTTCTTTATCCAGGCATTAATGACCTCCATGAGCCAATTTTTCTCCTGTCTGATCGACGCTAAGATCCAATTATTTCCATTGGTTGTGCTCCTTATCCATGAGTGGAGTGCATACTGAAATTCGCACATTCCGTGGGGATTTTTTAAAAAAAAAGTTTTGAGGTAGATATCCCCCCTCCCCTCCCACTCCCATCTACAGAAATCATAGTTTGGCTTTTTGGATTTCATATAGGACGTCCCGCAAGGATTTCATTACAATTTTATTTAGATACATTCTGAACGCACCGCAAGGATTTCGTTACGGTTTTACCAAGATACACATACATGTACATTAGAACGCATCGCAAGGATTTCGTTACGGTTTTACCAAGATACATGTTGATATTAAAGATACATTATGTAAGATTTAGATATAGAGCTAGCCATTCTTGTTATAAATAGATAATGTAAAATGAATAATTTGAACATTTCATTCAAATTACTATATTACGAGCGAAGATATTAGCCTTTGAAGGTTTGACAAGACGTGTGCAATAATTTCAACCACCGTACTGGTTGTTCTAGGCTTTTTTAAAAAAAAATTTAAATTTTTAAATTAAATCAAAATATGGCTGAACTGTTCTAATCTATTTAATATCGGAGAAATCCGATGCCACCGAAAGTTGATTATATCCTGGATAAGTTAATTAATATCTAATTAATAACTTAGAAAACATTTCAGACCTAAAGAAAGACCTACTATAGACAGATTTAGCTCTTGCATAATGTATGTTTAAGATGAAGTGTTAGCACTTTGTTGATACAGATTTTTTTTTATTTCGTTCTCTCTCTCTCTCTCTATATATATATATATACCTGTGTTTATCGCATGTGTTGTTATGTAGTTTATCTGCAATTAATTATTTATAACGTTCTCGTCAAAATTGCCGTCTTTATTTACTGCACGAAAAACATTTTTATATAATAAACTTTTTATCATATTTATAGATATCAAAAACATGTACAATGTATAGGTCTATAAATTCTTGTGTCAAGTGTACCTGTCATCTGATCGTGATGTGACAGAAAACAAGTTTTCGTAATTTTAGACAATCATTCATTTGATGCGCATTGTGGAATATTCTTTCCCACAATAGATAATTGAAAAAAAACAAAAAACATCGCTGTGTTAAAATATTATAAATCCCTGTAAATTTGGAAAGCTCATTCCCATGTCACATTTTTATAGTTTTCATTTAAATATATCAAGAAAGTGAATGAAATGGGGTTTACCGTCCTACTTTTCTTCCAACTGCTAATGTACTTTTATGTGCACACTGGAGAGAGGGAGAACTGGGGTTTAACATCCACTCGAACAAACTAGGTCATTTCGGGACTAACACGTGGTTCAATTTTATTTCAATAATTCGCTTGTGCGTAGGGGGCTTTAGCAGTGGGAGGAAACCAGAGGACCTGGAGAAAACCAACGGGGTTGGACAGGCGACCCTACTCCTTGTCACGTACAACCGGGGAATCGAAAACACACCAGTTGACTCAATGACAGACCTTATAATACATTGCCCCCCCCCCCCATGTGCACACTGGTCTGTACACAGATGGGCTTTGGTCTTTCGTACCATCCGAACGACTAGATAATGTTCCTTGTCAGGGCCTTATTCACTAAGAATGTGACTGAAGGGAATATTGTAAGAAGATCGCTTGAGAGTATTTTTGCGTTTGTAGCTAACAGACAACATCCACCACGAACAGAACATCTGTAGGATTTATAATCTCGAAATGTATGACCCCTTTTCCTTTTGTAATCAAGTCTCTTGATTGGATTTTTCATTAAAGATACATTATGGGAGATTAGATAAAGAGCTGGCAGTTCTCACTATAATAGTTAAAAACTAGATAAGTACTGTAAATGGAATTTGCTGAAATTTTCAGTCAAATTGATCCAATATGAACCGAGATTTCAGCGATTAAATTGTCGGCCTCGCCTCGATCATCATTACTAAAGTCGGTAGGATAAAAAAAACCAGCAAATCGGAACCTAATCCAATAAACATCGCAGCCTATACCATAGAGAGTTGATTATGGTCTGGATAAGTTAATTAATGTCTAATTAATAATTTAGATAACATATTTCAGGCCTAAAGAAAGACCTGCTATAGGCAGATTTAGCTCTTGCATAATGTATGTTTAATAGACCATGTGAAACAGGCGTTTTAAGTTCAAAGTTCGGCAAACGCTGATGCTACAAACTCTGACCTCATCCAGTTCTTGGATTTTTGATAGTGTGATTATTCTTTAATATACGTATATGATAAGCACCTAATAACATTTCTGGTGACTTTCTAGAACACGTGATGTCACTTTGATTTGAAGCATTTATATGGCCAAAACTTTTATTTCACTTTAGTATTTATTTGACACAACTATTTTAGGATATATCAACATATGTTTCTGTTTTTGTATAGACTAAAATAATAAAATTGAAGAATATCAGATTACTGCAGATTTATTTTAGCTCCTCTACTAAAACTTATATACAATCATATAAAATATGCAACGGTCTACATTGAATTATATCTCCCTACGCATTTTTTTTGGATTATATTTCTCTTAATTTTTTGTCAGGGGAGAACGAATGGTCCATCATTAACAACCAATCATTAAAATGATAAGGTGATTACCTGTAAACCAATCAGATGTCTCATATTAACTGTCATTCATTGATTGATGGTTGTTAAGAAAGACGTCAAAGACCACGTGACCACTCCCCTTTTTATTTCATTTTTGCAATGAAAGGCTTTGATTGACTTTTGTCGTTTTATTTTTAGTCCAGATTTACAGGCCAGATTTTAAACATATGATTATACAGAGTGTGATAAACGTCTGGAAGAGAGCTGTTCCACGTGACTGAACGCCTTGACGATTTATAGAGATCTATGTTTCTGCGACTTCTGCATCATATTGTCATCCGTCAACCTAACTATACACATCGCTTTTAACCATCATCGCCAGCTCGTTACACAAGTTTTTTTTTATCTAGTGTATGGTGAAGGTTTATGTCAACAATATTTAAAGCAGTTTTAACTCAACATTGCTGTTTTCAAGTTAATGACGTCTCATGATTTATGATGTTTATTTGAACAAAGGAATTGGTTATTTTAAATACAGTGGAACTTTTTTAAAGGGCGTGTGTAGCTTTAGTCTTTGAGGAAACCCGAACTAAAAAATGCAGTCGATGACATCAAAATACGAGCATCAAGTCACAGACGAAGAGGAAGAAATCGACGTCGGAAGAACTGGTCACGTGACGCCATTTGGTAGTGATTCTGAAGGAAGTATCTCAAGTGGCGGAGAGGGAAGAGCCGTGACCCCTCTCATGCCCCTCCCTGGCAAGTCACCCAACAGTAGAAGTAGAGAAACCCCCTCCCCATCATCGCCAGTTACCCCACCTCAATATAAAGGGTTGGATTCAAAAGGTAAGAGTTTCTGTATTCTTTACAGATATTTAATTTGATAACACTATCACGAGTTCGAACCCTATGATCAAAACTGGCATGATTTGCTGTACACACGCATTGCAATCCTGTTTGTAAACCATCGTATATTGTTTTTTTTTATATCTAGACAGAGGCCATCGGCACCTGGCTGTCTTGACACCATAAGATTCGAATCAGCGTTTATAAATTTCAAAATGCACATTGCATGACGGGGTATCAGGAAAAACTTTAGTGCTTTATGACGTAAGATGGGAATTTCTTCTGAATTTCTTGCAAGACTTTTTACATTATTTTATTTGTCAGAATAAGTATATAGCCTTGCTGATGAGAAAAATATGGTTAATTATCGAAATGTTTGAGGGCGGTTTCCGGAAAAATTTATGGTTACGGTGTTTTAGGGTTAGACGTAATGTTTTATAAAAAAAAAAACATCGTTTGAATTGAACAGCAATTAATGGCGGTTTTAACACTTAGTCTCTCTTTCCCAGGCCTAAAAAGCGATTTTGTTAAACGGTATTCAAATCATACAAGGGACTCGAATCCATCTTGGTTGGTTGTCTCCCTCGCATAACCGCATGGCATAATATGGGTATCTATGGGGATCTATTTTATTGAGTTACGGTATTGATAGACTATTTTCAATGCCAACTTAACTTAATAACTAAATCCAATAGCTTCTATCTGAGTATAGACACTTGTTACCAATTGTCTCCATTGTCCGTATAGACTAATCCACCCCATTCTTTATTCATATCGAAGGCATAAAAACCTTAATCTGATTAGGGATGTCCAATCCAGATTGTCAAAAAGCACAAAACCCCGGAAATCCTGGACCCTCTAAAATCCGCTACAATCTGACATGTCGTTATTATCAACAGTCTAAAATGGAACTTATTATCGATTGTTAAAATATACATTTCTTATAACTGTTAAGGTAAATTCCGATTCAAAGATGGTCATGGTTTTAGATGCTTTGAATATCGCTTGCGAAATTAGATAGGGTTTTTGTTTTTTGTTTAGCTTCAAATTTACACACAGCAAAATGATTTTAAGGCTTTTGTTTATAATAAACATTTTGCCCTCCCTTTATGCTGGTTAAACGAACCTTTTAATAAACTGCGAGGTTTTCAAACATTTTTACTTTACATAAGTAACGAATATCAAACTAAAAACTTTTTATGGAATTACAATTGTACTGGTTTATTAACATGCAATGTGTAAATTATAGCATATAAGTGTGTGAAATAGCTTTATTTAACGTCCGCTTCCACCAAAGTGATGAGTATTTATATACATTAAAAGGAAGCAATGACTTTGTCTGTGAATTCGTTAAACCCCTGCCAATTACTCATTGCTTTCCCGCTGCGTAGCCTAGGGTTATATATTGACGAAATGGAATATTATTTGCACATTGTTACATCCTGTTATTATTGTTATCATATCTACCTATGTATGATGACAATTTTATACATTGTTACACCTTGTTGTTAACTTATTATAAAAGCAATTACCATAATCAGTAAATTAATTCCTTCCCGAGACCCCAGGGTCTTTTTACGGTAACTTTACAAAGTTCATAATTTTACTTTCGCGCTCTTTCTAAATATCTCTTGTCAAAATGACCGATGGAATATTTCAAAACGTTTAAGGCTATAAACCTCTGTTGGATAAAATCATTGGACATATAATGTTTAATTCAAACTTTCCCACATAAACAATAGGTAATTTATTTCGTCAATTCAGCTTGGAGGCACGTAGGTCTATCCATGTTGGTTTAATTAAAACATTTGTAAACGTTTTTTACTCAAATATAAATACAAATTGTAAGTGTTCGAAATCTTGAAAGTGAAATTCTCTTCGTCATAATTTCATTCCTTTGATAATAGTTCGAAAAAATTCAGTATTTCCCTGCACAGAAGAATGATTTCATCATGGATGATCAGGTCAAAGTTTTAAATTATGAAGAATTATAACTCTTTTATTGAAAACTACTTTCATTTTGGTAAAGATTTGTATTTATCAACCGGTACAAATAAAAGATATACCAACCAACCCGTATTATAACTCTATAACTCCTAGTTAGACTATTTTCTGGTCTCGCTTGAATAAAATTTGAAGGGTTTCGTCCCTGCTAAATCTTTTAAAATGGACTAAAATATCCTTTAAAGTCAAACATCACATAATAATCCAACATAAACGTCCTGAGTTAATCTTTCTATAGTTGAAAAGTAGATTTTTGTTCACTCTAATCTATTTAACTGGTTTGAAATACTGGCTTTTATCTAACTCATTAGATCATCCATATTTTTATTACTTTTCCAATTCAAATAATTCTATAATTTCAATGTGATACTCTTCACGCTTCGAGAGCACAAATAGTCTATTCAGTTCCCACAATGCAATCGTTGTACCTTTTGTATTTCTAGGGTCGAAGAGTGTGGAAGGTTTTCTCGTGCGTTTTTTTTTCATTCATAACTAAATATAGGAGTAATTCGTATTAAAGATGTATTTCAAAGAAATGCTAAACCACAGCCCACATCAATATGACTCGGTCAAACCTAATTTACAATTTTTAAAAAGCAAGAGAACATTTTCTTATACGGCACCATAAGTTTGCTAGAATTAATAGATTATTTTGCTCCAGCCTTTGGATAATTCCATAGGTCCCCGAATCTAGGCCTACATACCCCTCCCCTCCCGAATGTCCAACCTCGTGGGTCTCCTCTGTGTCCTCCGGTTTCCTCCTGCTGCTAAAGACCCATACGCGCAAGCGAATTATTGAAATAAAATTGAACCATATGTTAGTTTCGAAATGACCTAGTTTGTGTCGAGTAGACGTTACCCCCCCCCCCCTCTCTCTCTCTCTCTCTCACTCGTTTTGAATGTTGAATGTTAACTATAGCCTAGCTCACAACACGCCGTAGGCCCTACGTGCTGCTATACAACAGTCTACGGAGAAATTTTTAGTAAAACCGTGCGTGAGACTTACGTGGCACTTGCACGTGTTCGGCACCGTAGAAGATCGCAGACTGTCAGTAGAGACGTTTGGTGCTACGCATACAAAATGTTCACCCCGTTTCTTGCGGCTGGTCTGCGAGCTACCAAACCCTATTACCCGTGCGTGTGACTGTCAAAACACGTACGACCGGTTGTGAGCTATATAGGCTTTAATCCTGCATTTCTGATTCGATATGCAATAAACGGATGTAACGCTTTTATAAATTTGCAATCACATTTTTATATACTTGTCTATTTGATTGTAACTGAATCTTGCATCCTGTTTGTGTGATTGAATACACGTGATTAGAATATGCAATTAAAAAACATTACTGCAACGCAGTTTTTGGGCCCATTACTCACACAAGTGGTTAGAATAAACTTTAAACTGCTCATATCATATCAGATCCATCTTTGATGTTCTTGATTATTATTAAAAACATCAAGGTATTCATATTGTCTAAACAGAGATAATACTTCTAATATTTCAGGAAAACCCTCATAAATGTCCAACCAGGTAAAACAAAAATCCCTAGATATTAACCTTTAAAAGAACAAAGCTATAAAAAAAACCTTATCTTTAAGTGGAATACTTCCAGTTTAATACAGCATTAAAACGTTATTAATAACAGTTTACAGTTCTTCATATTACTACCTGGCCATCTCTTTGATATTTTACCTGTTGATTGGACAAGGTGGGGTAATATGTTATTAAGATATAGTTGGAGGTGCTTTGATGATTTGGTCGATAATCTGCGTTAAATGTTTTATAAGAAGGAATAAAGTTTATGCGCGTTATATCTAATAATCGCTAAAATTGTACACAGATTCATAAAATCTTTATACTACTTTACCTTAAAGTGACAGTCTACACAAACCAGAATATTTTCTCGTTATTAATCAGAGTCTAATCATAATAATTGTTGAATATGCATATCGGTTGTTAGTAATCCTGAAAGTTTAAGCTCCGGTACATGCAATATTCTGGAATAACGCCCATTGCTTATCTGTCCATAACGTCACTTACAGTAAACAAACGTTATAGGCCTACCAATTTAAGAATTAGAGTTTTCAAACGTTGTATTTAAGAAATGTGGAGGTTTGTACGATTCAATAAGTTTGTTTAGATCACCACGATACAGTATGTAGAGATTGGAAATGGTTGGATTTAATAACAATATTGGTACTTTAAAGGTACGGCTGTGAATACCCTTTCGTAAATTAAGATGCAGGTACAATATTTGGAGCCCGAAATAGTTATCCGTTTTCGTAAATCCCTAGCAATACCTTCGCCCGAATTGTGATATATTTTTTTATTGTTTCGATTCTCGTCGGTACCAATTCGTTAATTCATCTCGTTAAGTTTACTATAAAAAAAATTGGGGACTTAAATATAATACCGTCTCGTCAGCGCGGCTTAAAATTTCAGAGAAAAATAATATCAGCAACCAACACTTCTCTTGCCTTCCGCTGGCCGAGCAAACAATATTAAAACGCGCGAGGGGGTCAGGTCAAAGTGAAAACGCGGGACATTAAATATAACAATATGTTGACAAATCGTAGAATGTGATTGATCGTAAAGTTTGATACGATTTTCTAAACCAAACAATAATTTCTTTGAAGTTTGCTGTCGAGGTACACTGACTAAATGGTTTGTTTATAATAACAGCGATTATTGTGTTATGTTCTTATATTACACAAACTACAAAACTTGATATTTATTATAAGACATTCTATTAGAATAAAAGAGAATAAAATCATATAAAGACAAGATAATGGCCAGCTAGGTATAATAATTATTCCATTTTTAATCAAAATTATAAAAAAAGATATACAATATTAGGCTTTTAGTTTTTTTTTCTTATTCTATATCCATCAACAATAATTTTACTGTTAATAAGATATTGATGTTTCTTGATTTTATATTATTACCTTCTAGTCGTCCCGTTTTAAATCAAAATTCTATTATAAGAAAACAACCT